ATTTGTCTTTTTTCAAAACCTGGTTTTCTTAAAAGTTTGACTTGATACAAAGTAAGTGAAATCTTGATACAGCAAAAATAGAGACCCTGGAAAGTGAAAGTGGAATATTGAACATTAAAATAAAGAAAGAAGCAGGAAGAAACTACCTTGGGATTGCTTGGTGATTTTGGTATAAACTTACATTTAAGAATATTGGACAATTGATGAATCTGGAAAAACCTAAAGAGGAATTAATAAAAGCTGATCATTGGAAATAAACTTTACAGACATCAATTGAATTAAATTACTGGACAGAAGTGTTTAAAAATCCCCCACCAGGATTCTCTCCTCGAATGAAAAATGGAACTCAAAAATATGAAAGAAATGCTACAAGAAAGAGGCAAATCATTTCGCTTTGCTTTACAATTTTTAGAAATGGTGATTTTAGAGTACAAAGAACAATAAGGAGTGCCAGAAGAGGAAAAGCTGATTAAAGAAGAAGTCATATTTAATGAACACTTGGAACAACAAATATTAAAGCAAAGGGGGGAAAGAATAGGAATTAAAAACTTGAGATTTGAGGAGGTAACTAAAAAGGGGAATATTTTCAAAACCAAACAAAGTAAAAGGAAAGAGCAGAAAGGAAATTGCAAAAGGAAGCTTTAAAGAGGGAGGGGGATAAAAACTGGAGTAAGAAAAGGAGGGGGAAAATGAAGGGAAAAAGAAATAATAAGAAACAGGGCCAGGAAATAAATAAATATGGAAATTGAATAAAAATGAAAAGAAATTGTTTATTTAAAAGACATTGAGATAATGGTTAACTAAGAATTAAGAAAGGGGATTCTGAAAGGTGATGAGGTGAAGTACTAGAAGTAATAAACTAGTTAGAAAATAGGGAAATATAGATTATTAAAATGAAAGATTGGAACTGATATTTTTTGTTATTGGAATGTTTGCTTTTTGTTAAAATATATACAGAGATAATGGAATAAATGTGGGGAAAAAAGAAAAACTAGGACATGTTTAAGGAATTTATAGAATATAGTTGAAATCAATTGCGAGGATTATTGTAATGAGATTAATATTAGTTTCTATGATGAATTGAATAGATTAACCTTTTTTTGAAATTATAAACATTTTTATGTAATTGAAGGGGAAAGTACCATGCAGAATCTGACCTAAAAAGTATATATGTTATGTAGTTGCTAGGAGATTACTATTATTAATTTTTAGGCGATAATTAAAAGTTAAATGATTGGGATTTAAAGGAGAGTCAATTAAATGATATATAAGCTATAAGGGGTGGCACACTCAAATTAGTAATTGTGGGGGAAATTCTTTTGAAATGTTTGAATTGAAATAGAATTTGTGAAATGATGAAACAAGAATATGCAATGAAATTGCAAATCTGACAGATAAAAGTATAAAAGTGAATATGAAGATATGAGAGTTATTTAAAGTTTAAAGAAATAAGTTAAGGAATGTATTGGAAAATTTATAGAATAAGCTGGAGGAAAATATTTGAGAAAAATAATAGAAAATATGTAAAGTAATGATAAGATATGAAACTAAATGTGAAAGATGAGTATGTAATCATAGTCATGTTTGTATGAAAATGTGAAAACCTGGAATCATGCTGTTCACTAAAAAACGATGTTTTTAAAATGTGGACAAATAAAACAAATAAAATTTTATTTAAAAAAGTATTGTAATGTCTGGGAAGCCATCAAATGTAAATTAATTAGCTTGCTTCATTGTTCTTCAGAGGACAATCTGGCAAATATAATGACCAAGTCATTGGGTGGAGTGCACCATGAGAAGAATATTAAGTTATTCAGTTTTATGTCTATTCCAGTCATGAAGAGAGGAGTGTCAGTGTATAAGAGTTCATGAATTGGAATAGACTTGGTAATAGATCAGCCAATAGGGACTGTTTGGTGACTCAAACAGCTCGGAGCCTGGGCGTGGCTTAGCTTGACTGATTTATATGTAAGAGTTGCTTTGTCTTTGCAATATAGCCTCTATAATATATTGCTTCTGTGACCATGACTTCTGGATTCTGAGTTTTGCTTCTTGTACTTGCTACCAATTTGCAAAAACTGCATGGGTATTGTATACATGCATCATGTTTTATATTATTGTATATAAACTAGTTTCTTCTATAAATGAATCCTGTTGATTTATTTACTTGTGTGCTCATTGGATTGCTGCAAACTCTGACATAATTTATGCATTTTAAAAGGATTGTATAATTCATTGGGATATTGTACATGAAATGCTTTGTTAGATGACTGAATATATTAAGTAATCACTTTGCTATCATAGTGTAGAATGAGGCAGATGACTTTAATAGAAATGTGCAAGAACCATTACATAAAAGAAAAGGGCTGAAACCTTCCTTGAGTCCTAAAAAGCAGGACAGTATCTGGAAACAATTTGTTTCCCTTATATGTTGAATATAAGAAAGAAGGGAAACAAAGCATATGTAAGGCATCCAGAAAGTATCCATGATATCAATCACTCCAAGACAATTTCTCTCCAATTTGATTAAATTTAGAAATAGATCTGGTATGTCAAAGGCAATTTCTCAAAGTGAAATTATTTTTGCACGTGTCACAGAATCCACCTTCTCTCCTCCCACTTCTACGCTTCATAAATCACGAGAACCAATTAACTGCAACTGGAATTTCTTAATATGACATACACAACAACCTTGAACTTTTCAACTCCTCCAGCCCCTTTCCATGAAATGTGACAGCTGAATTTTAAAGCTGACAGGCGTCCCCCCTTGAAAACTCCTCCTCTTAAAAGAAAAGGAAAAATACAGATACAGGGGTTAACACATTGTCCTTAACCCCCTCTCCCCCCTCCATGAGGACCCTTCAGTTTGTGGGGAAAGTCCTCATGGAATTGGTTAACCAATTGATCAGCATGAACATCCCAACTCTTTACCCAACTAGCCTCTGAGAGAGGGTATCCTTTCCCTAAGACCAAATATTGCAATTGGCCACAGTGTAATCTAGAATCAAGAATTTTTTGAATTTCATAATGTGTTTCCCCCTGTAGCATTAACGGTTTAGGGGGAGCAATTGGTGGTGGTCTTATCATTGATGCAGTAGCTGGTTTTAGTAAACAACAATGGAATACTGGATGAATTTTCCCCAATAGTCGAGGAAGACTAAACTGGACAGTGACCAGATTGATTATCTTTGAAATTGGGATTCTCCAGTGCCTCACTCTTGCTGGCACTTCTTCTGGCCCTTGTTGATGCTGTGTTTCAAGAAGTTTAATCAAATGCAGTTAAAATCATAAGCATCATTGGGAGCATATATATATTTCAGTTCTTTTCAGGATACGTTTAGTGGCTGCTGTGCTTTGATGAAATGTTAATTTGAAGCAGGTTGGTGTAGTATTGTTGTCTCTGCAGCTGCGTAGGAATTGGAGGTCACATAGTATTCCTGCTCTTTTAATTTCCAGTTTCTCGTAGGTTTTGATCTGGCTGTTTAATCCCTCCCCGTAGAGGTTTGACATTTGTTTTCTTAAGTTTTCGCGGGTACTTACATGTATGGCATTCAGCTTTGTTCGGGTATTTTCCCACGTCATAGTAGTGGTGCTTTTAAAGTTGTAGCAACATTTCAGCAGAATCTCATCTGCCATCATCAGGCTTTTGTATAGTGTTCGTCTGTGAGTTAGACTTTTACAGTGGTTTCAGATTTAAATTTGGGGCAGCCTATTGCTGTGCCAGAATGGTTTTTTCTTCATCCTGATTGGTTGAGAGTCTTGGTCTGTGTTTATTGGTCTTGGAGTTTGCTGTGTTCTGCTTCTAATATCTTCTGTCTGTTTTTTTTTGGCTCTTTTTGTATCTTGATTGGCTGGCAACATTGTGTTACTTTATTGGAGGTCTTTAGTGCAGCTTGGCTTCGGGTAAATGGACAGCTATCATTAGTTAGGAAGCTGGGTTTCATCTGGGTGCCTGGTTGGGGTGTGTTTGAGCTGGAGGTATCAGGGGGGATCTGTTTGTGCCCAGGTGTTTGCCTGGCTTGTGGTGTGGAGATTTTTTTGTTTGTGAGTACAGGCTTCCAAATGATTGACAGCCTGGTGGAATCATCTCTTCTGTTCATGCTTTCTGGTCTTTTTTCAATCTCTATGGCTTCTCTGATGATTCTGTGGCTGGGATTTTCTATAGTAGCTAGGGTTTTGGTGCCATTGAAGTTGATTCTATGACCTGTGGCTTCCATGTGTTGGACTAGTGAGGAAGTGTGTTCCAGCTTTTTGACTGCACTTTTGTGTTCATCCAGGCGGGTGCTTATTCTTCTATTGGTTTGTCCAATGTATGTGGCCGGGCATGATGCACAGGGGACTTCGTATATGCCTTGGTTTTCCAGGTCAATTTTGTCTTTGGGGTTTCTGAGGATGGCTGCTATTTTTCTGTCTGTTTTGAAGGCAGTCTTGATGTGGTGTCTGTATAGTATCTTACTAATTTTGTCTGTAGTGCCTCTTATGTAGGGCAGGACAGCTGTTCCATGGGTCTGTTCATCTTCTGGGTCTCTATTATGTCTCAAGAAGAACTACAGCCCCCGGCGGTGAGACTGCAGCGACCGGAGACGAGACGGCACCCCCCCCACAGGCCCAGAGACCACCAAGCCGAAAACCGATGGAGTCGAGATGGACGGGGCCGCCGAGACGGCGGGAACCGGCGGAGAGAGGAAACCTACCAGACGGTCGTCATCAGCCACTCATCCAGCGCAGACGCCCAGAAAGTATATGTGGAAGTAGGCATCGAGGGCGAGCCATGCAAGATGGAAGTGGACTCCGGGTCCTACCTCTCCATGGTTGCATGGCGGGAAATCAAGCGCCTGGTGCCCACAATCCACAGGAGAGGACTGGAAAGCCAGAGCCTAATCCTCAAGGACTACCAGGGGAATCACATACCGGTAGTCGGAACAGGCCAGTTCGAGGTAACTTTCAAAGGGCGCACAGCAAGGCTCCCCCTGACAATCGTGGACCGAGACCGCCCCAGCCTTTTGGGACTGCAGTGGTTCGCGCCGCTCGGAATTGAAGTAACGGGCGTCGACCACATCGGGGAGGCCAACTGGGAGGAACAACTCGCAAGGGACTTCCAGGAAGTGTTCGACGGCACCCTAGGCAAGTACCGAGGGCCCCCTATTTCGTTCAGCCTAAACCCCAACGTTCCCCCAATACGCCTGAAACCACGGCGGGTACCATACGCACTCCGGCCAAAAATCGATGAGCAAATAGACAAGCTCATCAAACAAGGGGTCCTCGAGCCAATCGACCATGCCCGGTGGGAGACCCCCATAGTCACCCCAATCAAGCCCGATGGGTCAGTGAGAATATCCGGGGACTATAAGGCCACCCTAAATTGTGCATTGCAACAGAGCGCCTACCCCATCCCAGTAGTGCAGCACCTCCTACACTCACTGGGCGGGGGCAAGGTCTTTGCGAAGCTCGACCTGGCGCAAGCCTATCAGCAGCTGCCGGTCGACGCAGAAACCGCCGAGGCGCAAACCATAGTAACCCACCAGGGGGCTTTCCGCTGTAAGAGACTCCAGTTTGGAGTCAGCGTGGCCCCAGGAATATTCCAGAGCCTCATGGAGAGACTCCTGCAAGAAATCAAGGGGGTGGTACCCTACTTCGACGACGTACTGGTGTCGGCAACCAACCAAAAAGAACTGGAGGGTCGCCTGAGGGAAGTCCTAACAAAATTCAAAAATGCGGGGCTGAAGGTTAAAAAAGAAAAATGCCAATTACACACCGAGAGGGTCGAGTTCCTGGGGTACCTTTTAGATCGGCACGGAATTCGCCCAACCGAGAAAAAAATCAGAGCAATCAAGGAAGCCCCCAGGCCGAAGAATAAAATGGAACTACAGGCATTTCTAGGACTGCTTAATTTTTACAATGTTTTCCTGCCCCAGAAGGTGACCGCGGCGGAGCCTTTGCATAGGCTCCTGGACAAGGCAGCCCCGTGGACTTGGGGGAAACGCGAGGAAGCCGCCTTCAACAAAACCAAGGACCTGCTCACCTCGGATGCCGTCCTCATCCAATACAACGAGACCCTACCGCTAGCTGTCACATGCGACACATCACCCTTTGGCGTCGGCGCCGTCCTCAGCCACACTCTCCCCGACGGAAAAGAAGCACCCATCGCTTTCTTTTCAAGGACCCTCACCAAACCGGAAAGAAACTACAGTCAGCTGGACAAAGAGGCCCTGGCTATCGTTGCCGCCGTCAAAAAGTTCCACGAGTACATCTACGGCCGAACCTTCACCATTGTCACCGACCACAAGCCACTGCTGGGAATCCTGGCAGGGAACAGGGCCACCCCGAACATTCTATCCCCAAGAATGACAAGGTGGTCCGAATTCCTTGCCGCCTACAGCTACCGGCTCACACACCGACCCGGTAAGACAATCACCCACACAGACGCCCTGAGCCGCACGCCGCTACCGGACTTGGACACCGACCCAGCACCCACGACGGCCACCCTTAGCATAGAGACTCTGCCCGATCTACCCATAACCGCGTCAGACATTGCCCGTGAAACCAATAAAGACAAACGTCTGGCGCGGGTATTACATTGGGTAGAGAAGGGGTGGCCCGAAAAGGACGACGACGAAACCTTCAGGACATTCCGGAACCGGCAAACAGAACTGTCATTACAAAAAGGTTGTTTACTTTGGGGGGACTGGGTTGTTATTCCGGAAAAATTACAGGGAAAGGTATTGGAATTGTTGCATGAGGGGCACCCAGGCATCGTTAGGACAAAGGCCTTGGCCAGAAGTTACGCATGGTGGCCAGGAATGGACAAACGAATCGAGGCCTGGGTGGCAGCATGCAACAGATGCCAGGAAACCAGGCCCAGCCCTCCTGCCGCCCCAATCCTGGAATGGGAAACCCCTAGGGGACCATGGTCCAGGATTCACATAGATTTTGCCGGGCCCACGAAAGGCCACACTTTCCTCATCATGGTAGACGCTTACTCCAACTGGTTGGAGGTAAGCAGCATGAGAACTACCACCACGGAGGCCGTCACCAAGGAACTCAGCAAACTATTCGCAACCCACGGCCTCCCAGACATCATCGTATCTGACAACGGGCCCCAATTTACCTCGCTGGAATTCGAAAAATTCCTAGCGGAGTGGGGGATACGACACGCATTGACAGCGCCGGCACATCCGGCGGCGAACGGGAGGGCGGAACGGATGGTTCAATTTACAAAAAAAAACATCCAAAAGATAGAAAACGGGGAAATCCAAGAGAAAATAAAAAAAATGCTTTTCATACAACACATAACCCCGAATACAACAACCAATAAAAGCCCGGCAGAACTACTGATGGGGAGAAAATTAAGGTCCCCACTCGACAGACTGCACCCCACATACAACCCAGAAAAAACCCCAAACTCCTCAAGCAAAGACCGAATATTTAAAACAGGCGACACAGTATACACGAAAAACCTCACCGGAGACCCACTCTGGGTACCAGCAACCATAACCCAAGTGACAGGTCCACGCTCGTACCGCTTACGACAACCAACGGACGAGCATGGAAACGACACATCGACCGATTAAGGTAAAGAACAGCCACGGGAAACACAACCGACACGCAAACAGAAGCAAACACAGAAGGGAATCCCCCCAACACAAACCAAGAGGGGAGGGGAGGCCCCAAGGACCAAACCCCACGAGAAAGAAACCAGGAATACTCACCAGCAAGCAGCCAGCTCGACACCTCACCAGGGAAAAGCAGCCAGGCCAGCTCAACCAGCCCGGAAAGACCAGGCGGGAGCGGAAACCGCAGCTCAACCAGACCAGGTAGACCGGGAGGGAGCTGCAACGAAAGGCCCAGCTCAGCCTTCCAGACGGTTCCATCAACAGGGCAGAGAGCAACACAGAACCCGACCGAACCGGCCGGGAGCCAAGCACCAACTAACCTGCGTAGGTCAAGTAGACAAGTATGTAGCCCCGCCTACTTACGGGACTACATTACGTAGGACCCTACCAAGAGGGGAGGGGTGTTCTGTACGGTCATTACCATTCTTGTAGAACCACGCAGTGATTGGTCAAGACGCACGGCGAGCTGATTGGTCGAGCGAGCCGCACTGATTGGCCCGCTGCGAATCTCCCGCGATTGGTGGAAACTAATCGCGGGAGATTCAAAGCGGTGCCATTGGCCGCGGCTGCCGTGGCCAAAGAATAAAAGCCGCCGCTTTTCTTTCGGACCCGAGCCGATCTCGGGAATCAATAAATGAGCTGAACTAAAGTCACTGGCTCCGAGTCTCCTTCCTTGCGACGGACACAACAGGTTTCCTGGAATAAATGACTTTTTCCCTTATTTTCTCTGTTGCATCCCTGTTTGCAGATCTAGCCTTCCTTGAATTCTATTTGGACCTTTTAGATCATTTGGGCTTCATGCTACCTGCTGAGTGATCAGCCATTGTAATAGCTTGAGCCCAGAGACTGCCCTGGGAGGAGAGGCTAATTGTTCAATCCTCCTAACCCTTTAAGCTTGAGGTGGTCTTCAGCCCAGGACTTCTCCCCTGGGCTATGGCAGTGGCGACAAGACCAGATCCCTGGGGTAGCCTACACAACACACCACATGGTTGCAGCCAAAATGGCACCTGCTGGCCCTGATGATCAGCTGTGGGGTGCTGCAATCGAAAACAGCTGCTCTGGAGTTACCCAGATGAGCCTGGATGTGCAATCAGCAAGTTGTTGTTGTCAGCAGCTGGGACTCTGGGGTGCACCCCCCAAAAGATGGGAATTATTTGCAGAGCTGCCCCCTCTAACCCCCTGTTTGAGCCATTATTGGTGGTTCGGGAAAGCTGCATGATAACAGGGCGAAGAACAGGCTGTTTAAAATCCTTTCTGTCTGTCTTTTATTCTTCTCCAAACCTTTTGGAGAATCCACACTTTAGATGAATGCTGCTTGCAAAGAAACAGAGCCAAAATTTACCATGTCTCTATCTGGCCAAGACTGAGTCATGACTGTGGGCTTCCAGCCCTGACAAGGAAGAGGTGCAGCAAAGATTGATGACTCAGTCTTTGGGCAGAAAGGCAGATTCAACCCATGTGTGTGAATTCTCCAATAGGCATGCCGGAGAAACATGAAATCCAAGACAAAACCAGCATGGCTGCACAAAGATCTCTCTGACAAATTGAAAGATGAAAAGGACAAATACAAAAAAATGGAACGAGGGACACACAACTAAGGCAGAATATTAGCAGATAGTCAGAATTTGCAAAGGCGAGGTCAGGAAAGCAAAGGCTCAGAATGAACAAAGACTTGCAACAAAAGTCAAAGATAATTAAAAAAGAGTTTCTTCCAATATATAAATAACAAGAAAGAAATCAAGGAAACAGTCAGTCCACTAAAGCAGCGGTCACCAATTGGTGGGCCACGGCCCACTGGTGGGCCATGAGAAAATTTTGTGGGCCACAGAGAAATCTCACCCTCAAAGCAATTAATCCAGGCTGCACGGGAACACAAGGATGTGCTGCCCGCCTGGCCTGCCCACCCACTGGCCCCCACCCTTCGGCCGAGTGCAAACCTTACCTTGAGTAGAGCCACACAAGCTGGAACTGGAAGGTAAGACTAACAGCGGGGGAGAGAAATCCACCCCAGGGTGGCTTGCTGACATTGATGGGAAAGTCGGTCCCATATTCCAGAGCTGCAGTAGTCACAAGACTGGCCCTTTGATCATCCCAGAGCAGCTCCTCCAGTCCATAGCAGGCCAATGCACCCGGGTAGAGGAGCAGTTGCTCCAGGATGACCAAAGGGCCAATCCTGTGACTACTGCAGCTCTGGAATATGGGACCGACTACCACCGTCAGTCAAAAATCATATTAGTAGTCCACGGGACTTAAAATTATGAGTTTGTGGTCCCTGAGATCCAAAAGGTTGGCAACCCCTTTCCTAGAGTAGCCCAATATGATTTGAATCATATTGAACACCTCCAGAGGGACCTGAAAATGGCTGTTTGCTGATGGTCACCATCCAACCTGACTGAGCTTGAGAGGATTTGCAAAAAAGAATGGAGAAAATCCCCCAATCTAGTTGTGCAAAGCTTGTCATGTCATACCTAAAAAGACTCGAGACTGTAATTGCTGCCAAAGGTGCTTCAACAAAGTACTGAGTGAAGGGTGATATTTCAATTTTTTCTTTTTAATAAATTTCTAGAATTCTGTTTTCATTTTGTCATTATGGAGTACTGAGTATAGATTAATGAGTGAGAAAAAATGAAATTTCAACTAGTATAGAATCATACTGCAGCACAATAAAATTGACAAAAGTAAAGGAATTTGGTTACTTTCTGAATATATTGTAATTATTGAAGCCAAAAGGATAGCATGTACATATTTAAAAATCAATGGCCGTGTTTATGTAAGATACTCGAAATCATCAACAGCAGGTGTATCTGTCAAAACATGATGTTGATCGATAAGTACATTTTGCTTGTAAATAATTCCCATCTCTTCAGCCCTTTGCATTTTCTAATCCTATTTGGGATTGGAGAACTAGATTAAATGCTTTCCTAAGTGATTCAATATTTATTAAAAATTTAGTTTAGATTGTCACAAAGTTGTAACACTTGGGTGAAATAAGAATACCCTTGGGTCAGGAATTTTGCAGATGTGAGACAAAACCTGAATACTTTGGAGATTGTGAGAATGTTCTTATGTGTAGAAACCCTTTTTGCAATGTCACACAGCTAAACAGGATTTTTATCAACACATACTGGTGATAAAAGCCTAGGATGGGAGAAGACATCAATGAAAAATAAAACTTGGAAAGAAGTCTTACTTAATGAAGAGTAATGTCCTGATTGATTATTTTTACTTTATCTATATAGGGAGTGCAATTAAGGGGAAACACTTTCGTTTCCTGCTTGCCTTGAGCTTCATATCAGGAGTTAGTATGTTACTCACAAGTCTTCTAAAATTACTGAAATTATTATTAAGAAGGCAGGAGGAATTATTCCTGAGAGGCAAGAATTGGGGGTATCAGCAGGGAAGGGAAGGAGACAAATGGAAACAAAAGTTCTTGCTAGTTTTTCAGTCCTTGTCTATAACTCTTTTCCCCTTCTGTTCCAGATGAGATCAGTCTAATCAAAGAAAAGTAGTTCCATTTTATGAAGAACCTATTTAATTTTAAAGTTTCCCTTTCCAATTATATACATACAGGATCAAGAATCATGATTGCTTTCTTTTCTCTGTATGTTCTTTGAATCCTTACTTAGGACCACAGAATCAAACTTGAAAAGGATAATTTGGTCAAGTGAGTCTAACCCTTATTTAGTTCAGAAATTCAAGTCAAAACTTTCCTAAGAAATGCCTATCTATTGCTTGAACATATATCAAGATGGAAATCAAATCTGTCTGGCATTCTGGAATGATTAGACCTTATTATTTATTTATTTATTTATTTATTTATTTATTTATTTATTTATTTATTATTTATTTATTTATTTATTTATTTATTTATTTGTTTGTTTGTTTGCCAATTGTTTACAAGATAATAAGTATAAATGTATACATAGTTGTGAATACATGAAATGGTTACATATAAGAAAAATAAAAGAATAAGAGAAACAATAGGACAGGGACGGTAGGCACGTTGGTGCGCTTATGCACGCCCCCTACAGACCTCTTAGGAAAGGGGTGAGGTCAATAGTAGACAGTCTAAGGTTAAAGTTTTTGGGGTTTGGGGAAGAAATCACAGAGTCAGGTAGAGTATTCCAGACATTGACCACTCTGTTGCTGAAGTCGTATTTCCTGCAATCAAGTTCGGTGCGGTTAACCTTGCGTTTGTATCTATTGTGTGCTCTTGTGTTGTTATGGTTGAAGCTGAAGTATTCATTGACAGGTAGGACATTGCAATGTATGATTTTGTATACCATGCTTAAGTCAGACCGAAGACGGCGTAATTCAAGGTTTTCTAGTTCTAGAATTTCAAGTCTGGTGGCATAAGGTATTCTACAGCGAGTAGAGGAGTGGAGAACTCTTCTTGTGAAATATTTCTGGACTTTCTCAATTGTGCTAATATCAGATACGTAGTGTGGGTTCCAGACTGATGAACTGTATTCGAGTATTGGTCTAGCAAATGTTTTGTATGCTCTGGTTAGTAGTGTGATATTACCAGAGAAAAAGCTACGTAGGATTAGGTTAACAACTCTTAATGCCTTTTTGGCTATGTAGTTGCAGTGTGCTCTAGCACTTAGATCATTAGAGGTGAGTATTCCAAGGTCCTTTACAGAGCTTGGGTCATCAACAAGATCTTGACTATTCAGCTTGTATTTTATTTTCTGATTTTTTTTGCCAATATGTAAGACAGAGCATTTATTTGTTGAGATTTGAAGTTGCCATTTGTT